GAAGTCCACTGGAGCCCCAAGAGATCCGGCTTCAATTCAGTCTCTCAAAGCTCAGCCTCAAACGCAGCAAGGCTGCTGATACATGAGCACGTTTCAGGCTGAGCTGTTCACACTGAGTTCAGCTTGGATTTCACCTCTGTCTCACTCAGTTCCAGCAGCATCTTCTCCAGACAGAGAAGCAGGTGAGGTAGTAACGCACAGATGTAAGGCCGTCTGGGGGCTACAGCTGGACTCAGTCCCTCACCAAGTACACTGCTGCCTGCTTACACCGTCTGCAGTTCTGCAGGATGGAGTCAAAGACCACAGGACATACCTGACCTGCGTTCCCTCAGTTCTGCCCTCCGAATCCCCTCGGAAGATGTGAGCCTTATTTTCCATGTTGCCGCAGAGAGAAGCCTATCCATTTACTCTAACACAATTTTTAAAATTCCAATTCATGCTTCTTTAAGTGGTCAATTGTAAAATTGTCTTCATAAACTTTAAAAATCTATTGTGATTTAACTGATTAACCCAAATCATATAAAATCATTCCCATTCCACATTTTCAACATATGAAATGTTTGCCTCTTGTAGTTTAGCCTCTAAAACTCCACTTTGTAACCTGAACAGACTGGCTCACAAAATCTGCAGTCCAAAAACTGATACGATCATTGAGTAGCATTAAAATCATGCAAGGATGTGATCACTTTCAAGTGGCATTTTGTTCAAAATATAACAAAGAGCAGAAAGAAAGATGGAAAACAACCCCACTCTGTTCTAAAACGAAAGCGATCCTGCATGATAAATGTGGGCGGGCATGCAGCCCTGAGTCGGAGGCTGACCTACCCGAGTCACCACTCTTGACCCTGAGCCTGGACTGGCAGAAGCCTTTGGTGTGGGGCACGGTGTGGAGTGCAGTGTGGACACCATGTGCATAACAGTGTGGACATCGTGCAGGGGCCTCACCTCTTGCTGCTAGGACTGTATTTTAACCGAGTCTGTAGATCGAACCTTCCTAATTACCACGGGAAAATGACTTTATAAAATGGAAAACTTCTCACATGAAGTTAACAGAAACCTCACACCGCCCCCGCCACGAGTAAGTTCCCTGGTCAGGGTCACTGGACATCGCTGGCTGCCAGTCCCCGAGGCCCCGCTGTGCCTACTCTGCTGCACCTGCACCTTGAGTACCAAGAGTTTAATTGGCCAGATAAAAGCACTGCTAAGCTCCCTCTGGCAGGCAACAGGAAATGCACTTATCTTGCCTATGGAGACCAGAGTGATGCCTGTTACTGTCTTGAGCTTGGCTTGGAAGCTGGGCCCTTGCCCAGCAGCACCCTGGGGAGACTGCAACTGGGCACAGCACCTTCCTGACGAGGGCAGAGCCAGGCTGTCCTCCGGATGCCCATCCTCCTAGTGTGGCCCACGCCTTCTTTGCTGTGGTCATCAGCATTGCTGCGGTGCTCTGGCCATGAAGAACACACTGGACACGAGAACCCCTCCAGCGCCAGCAACATGTACATGGCCAGCTCAATGGCTTAGAAGTGTGGAGTTGTCTTTTAGGGTTAGCAGGATAAAGCCTGAGGGGTGGTTTTAACCCTGCACCTCAGCTGCCTGTTCACATGCACCCTCCCAGGCTGTCCAGGCGCCTCTGTTTATGGTACTTGTTCACGGACTTCCTCTCCATTTCTGCTAAGAGAGAAACTGCGGGAAGGTGCTGATCATCTCACCCGCAGCAGACTCTGATTGGGTACCCAAGCAGCGCCAGGCAGAGTGACCGATTCAACAGTATCACCGAATGGCCGAACCACAGGACTGATGCAGCAACACTGTGACCCACCCAGAGGTGAACAGCAGAACAAAGGTGCTTTCCTGTTCGTTCTGAGTGTCCTTTCTCAGCACTGCTTCCTTCCTCCAGCTAAACAAACCCTACAGATTCTCATTTGTCAAGAGTTCGCAGCTGCTCTAGGAGCAGTGAGCAAAAAACCATCTGAATTTCTGCAGTGGAGGAGGAGCGTCCGTGTGGCAAAGCCTGCGCCTTGTGCTACTCAACAAGCCCAGCGTTTGCTGGGCCCCAGGCAGGCACTGTCTCACCTGTCACCCCCAGTCCTCTCTGCAGACTGGGACAGCTAGGCGGACCAACAAGAACAGTGCTAAGGCGGCCAAGCTGTCAAGGAGCAGAGTGGAGTCTGCTCTGGTCCAAGGTCACCAGCTTTTCTGGTTCATCTTTAGTTTCCTGTCGCCATTCCCTCCCTGCCTTGGAGAATCTCCTCAGGGGTAGCAGGCCCAGAGCTTCAGAGCTCAGGCTCCAGCACAAACTGACTCTGTCCCCCAGGAGAGTGGTCTGGCTTGACCCCCCAGCACTTCAGCCACCAGACCTGTAAATCGGGGCAGGAAGCAGTGTGATCTGAGCATCTGGGGAATAGCAGACCACCCACTGTTCCCTCCCCTGAGTCAGTTTTATAATGCGTCTCCAAGTCTTCCATCTCAAGAGAGAAATGCGATTTTGAGGAATCCCTGTCCTCGGTAAGAACACGTTTTCCAATTTAAAAATAAAATCTGCCTGAAAATGAACCAAGGTTTTGCATTCTTCATGTAGATCTATGTAAAAGGGAAATCAAGAAGAAAGGATAATAGTGTGAGTTTTCATGAAGATTTTCAAGGCTTCAAACTTCTTTTCCTGCTCTATAAATTTTCACAGGTTGCAGAGACAAACCCACCAACATAAAAATCACAATATTGAAATGGGCTCATCTTTTTTCTTACATAGACCCTCTGGCCTTTTTCACAGAAGATACTTTAGATACCAGCGTTATTGAGAGGTATAACACATACAAGAGGTGATCAAAATATGCAGTGTAATGTAAATTACTTAGAATTCATCCCAGTAAAAGACACATCGCCCTTAATTCCCCTTAGAGTACCCTCCCCTCACACTGACCCCCTCACTCTCGCCACTGCCACAGCAGCCCTGACAGTTCATCTTTCTCGGAGTCCTCAGGAGCTGTGGTAAGGACCCGGCAAATGCAGCCACCCACTGTCCTTGTCCATGCCAGTCACCGCCCCTGGCACGGCGCGACTCCTGGCTCTTTCCCAAAGTCAGAGTCACCATGGAAGGGCAGTGTTTTCAGCTCATTCAGGACGTCAAGGCAGCCACGACAGTGCAGGTAAGAAAGAAAGCTTGTCTGCAAACAGAACGGTTACCTCTGCTTTTTTCTGGGTTCCTGTGTCATGGAGAATTATTTTCTATGTTGTTAGGCTATGGATTTCTTTATGGGTTAAATGTGTTTCTTGAATGCAGCATAATGTTGGGCCTTGTTCTTGATCCATTCTGCCAGTCTGTTTCTTTTGGTTGATGAGTTAAGATCAATTTTATTGATGGTAATAACTGATATGTATTGGTTTTTCTTTTTCTTGTTGTTTCCCTGATTTCTTCCCTGTCTTTCTCCTCTGCTTAATTGCTTGACCTGCCTGTTGGCCTCTTTCTATTGGTTTTCATTAAAAAATATCATACCATAGTGATACATATATACTCATGTTTAGAGCAGCATAATTTGTAATACCTAATCTTGGAAACAACTCAAATGCCCATCAACTGAGCAATGGATAAAAAAGATGTATTTTTAATATACAGTGCAGTACTACTCAGCCATAAGGAAGGATAAATGATACTTATATAGGTAAACAGATGCAACTCAAGACCATATTATGAGTGAAATAAATCAGACCCATATATGTAAGCATTGAATTGTCTCACTAGTGTGAGAAACAGAACGAGTAAATAAGCCCCGAAATATGCAATAGGTATCGTGAATTGAGAATAAACTGTTCAAAAGTAAAGATAAACTATGATGAGGGAAAGGGGAAAGAAAGAAAGGGAAAAAGAAAAAATGTACTTAGAAACAACATAGTTAAGATAGTTACACAGCTAGTTTCTCTTAGTGCATTGAAAAGAAAGGTTTTTGCTAATATTATTTGGACACCATACCATGCTTATATCTTTTACGCTGAATAATTACTATGAAGATAATGTGCAAAGTATTAATTATTGTTACTCTCCCACTAACCTGTTAGGAAACTCTGTTTTATTGTTATTTCTGTTTTTTTTTTCTCTTAAAAAAAAAAAAAAAAAAAAAGACTTCCAGAACTGGCAAGGACTACTGGATGTTTGTTCAAAATGGGAAGAGTATTAGAGGACATTAATGGTTATGTGTCTTTTACTGTAACATTTCTTAAATTTAAGTATTTACCATATTCTTTAATCACACCTCCTATTGTACTATTTGAGAATTTAAAACATTCAACTCAACAGTTTTCCTCCGTTTGCACCTTTATAATCATCACCACAGCTAATTCTGGAGTATTTTTATTCCCTGCCCTCCTGAACTCCCTGTAATTCCCAGCCTAAGGCAATCATCTCTTACTTTCTTGTCTGTGAGACTTTTTAAATGATGGGTTCAAAGGTTAGATCAATGAATGAACTGAAATTATACTAGAGTACACTTCCTAGGGTACACTCCAGCATATAAAAGTTTCATGATAAAACTTTGAGCCATTCCTCGAATATGCAGAAGTAAACGATGAAAATATAAAAGAAATGAACGCCCTGTAGTGCACCCCGCTCCTGAGATCAGCGTCTCTGTCCCCCGTGGGGCTGAGACTCGGAGCAGGGCTCACCGCCAGGTTCGTGAGGAGGCTGGGAAAGTGGGGTGCGGCAGCATGGGGGGCGCTGCCCACCGACGCGAGGTGGAGGGCATCAGCCTGGCCCCCCCTGCTGGGTGCCATCGGGAGCAGGGTCTCCGGCCCTGGGGCTGACGAGGGGGAATTCAGATGGGGCGCAGAGGCGCGCTGGGCATCACCACCTCTTCCCACCGCAGGAGCCACAGAGGACCGGGCCACCAGCCTGTGACACCCACACCCACCAGCCCTGCGCTCATCCGCCCCCAGGTGTTCTGGAAACCCTGGATGGAGATACTTTTCAGGGATGTGTGGACCACTGGTTTTTCTCACCATTACATTACCTGGTTTTGTGTCAGAGAGCCCCAGAGAATCCCACACGGGAACTGTGCAGGACGGATGCTCCTTGGCCCGCTGGGGATGGCGCAGCTGGGGCGGGCACCGGCACAGACGGGGGGCCACGAGGCCTTGGAGCCCAGGTCCACGCGGAGCTGGCTGCGGGCGGGCCCGAACCCGCAGGAGCAAGCCCTGCTTCTCCGCCTAGCTCCAGACGCCCGCCGGGTTAGGTGGGTGGAAGCTGAGACACAGGGCGCCGAGAAGCTGGCCTGTGCGACCTTCGGAATCAGGTCCCTGGGAGCAGGTCCGCGGCGGGCAGAGCACCCCCGTCAGTGCATGGGCACGCACCGGCACACGCATAGGCACAAACGCATACGCACACACGTGCATCTACGCACACATACGTGCACACACATACACAGGCACACACTGGCACATATGGACACACTCATGCACATTCACATGCACACACAAGCACACACACGTGCACACACATGCACATACAGATGCGCACACACACATACAAGAGCACACATGTGCACGGACATGCACACACAGGGATGTGCACACAAGCGCACACATGCATACACGTATACGCGCACACAAGCGCACACGTGCACACTACCAGCAGGAGGAGGAAGAGGACAGCCGCCAAGCTGAGCCCCGCCTGCAGTGACAGTGGCCCTGCCGTCAACACCCTGGGACAGTCACAGCTCGCAGCCCGCTTGCCCACTCGATGACACAAGCGGGGACCCTGTGCTGCTGGTCAGGAGACCCAGGCCACAGGAAGTGGGCGACAGCGTCGCATTCCAGGGGCAGGACGCTCGGGCCTGCGGTCACCTTCGGACCTTCCATGGGTCCCCGCAGGAAGTCCGGAAGCCTGGGCCGAGCCGCCTTCCGCCCTGGTCTGCTCGACCCTCGCCTTCTCCTCCAAGGCAGAGCCCGTGCAGCTCGCCCTCTCTGGCTCCGAGAAAACTCTGACTCCTGCTCTGTTGTCCTAAAAAGCCGGCTGGGTCCCCCATTTAAGATGATCCAGCTCATCAAAGCATGAATTTCAGATCCTGACGTTTTAAACATCAACGCCCCATAGGAATAAGTTGTTGGGGTCGCAGCTGCGTGCAGACGGGACGGCGCCCTAGGCCTGGGGCGGTGCGCAGAGGGCTCTTGCTCCCCCAGGAACCTGTGGCCCTCCCAGCCGCTCCTCGGGCGCCCCCCAGCGGCCAGGCTGCAGAGCGCGACTCAGGGGGAGGTGAGGTCCCCGCCCAGGTCCTGGCAGCCTGCATGCGGGGCCTGTGTGGCTACATTCCCTGCATCCCCACGCAACCGTGACTGGCTCACCTTTAAACGCAGCTATCGCGTACGTTGAGTGTCAATCTGTGCCGCTTTTCAGAGAAAACTCTGGACTCCCGGCTTTGATGGAAGTCACAAATTGTCACCAGAGCCGTGGGCTGGACTTTGTAGCTGCATTCCCTGCCGCTGTGTCACGCTCTACCTTGGATCACCCCGTGGAGAGCAGCCAGACAGTCGTCTGGGGGTTCCTGCTGGAAACCAGTGCGCTGTGAGGTTTGCAATCCATCGTTTGCCACAGTGGGTGAGAGGCCAGGTCCTCTTCCGGACAGGGACAGAGGACGGGTGGGGGCTGCGACCCTCAGTCCCCTGGCCCTGCTAGGAGGGGATGGAGTGGCACCCACGTTCCAAGGCCCAGCCTCTCCCTTGCTTACTTGGCTGAGGGCTGAGCCCTAAATCAGCTTGGATGACGTTTGAGACTTAGAATAGTCTCAAACGTCATCCAAGCTGATATTTTCTGTATGTAAATAAATCCAAACACAGTCCCTGTCACATCGAGTTAGTAGTTCTAGGGATTGTTCCTGAGGCTTCTTCTTCTGATGGTGTGGCTGTGCAGGACACAGCACGAGGGCTGTCCCCAGCTTCCGTCCTCACAGTCACCTCACTATCCACCCAGCACCCAGGCCCCGAGCTCTGCCTTCCACAGCCATAGGCCCAGAACCGGCTGTCCGCAGCCTCTCCACACCTCTGACCCTCGGCCTCCCACTCCCCTGTGCTGTCCTCAGGCCAAGGGCAGCGCCACCTTGGACAGAGCCTTCCTCCTCTGCCAAAGATCCCAAAGGCTGACAAGCACTAGGGCAGGGAAAAGAACACAAAAAGTGGATCAGACTTTTACAGCCTTTCTGTCAGCACATCTACCACATTTTCAGGATCTGAGGGAGGGGCTGGCGTGAGAAAGATTCTGAGGTTGTGGCAGCCGCTGCAGGGCTTAGGGTTTGGATGAGGATCCTGCAGCTCAGTGTTGAGTGTGTTTACTTCTGCTGCCACCTGCTGGCACAGCAGAGTCCCGCTGCCACCTGGGTCAGGTGGGCAGGGAGAGAGGAAGCTCCGCTCCATGGTTTCTTAGGCTTTTTGGTCCTTTGTTTTATTTTGACACAGGGCCTCACTGTGTAGCCCAAGGTAGCCTTGAACTCATGAAGATCTTCCTGCCTTGGCCACCTGAATGCTGGGATTGTGGGTATTCACCACTGTCATGGTTTATGTCTGTGGCCCCCAGGCCTCATGAGTTTGCATTGTTCATTTGTGATGGTTCATTGTCTAGTGCCTGGATTGATGGTGTCAGGCCCCACCCACGTAGGGGTGGAGCCAGGATGTGATGTAATGGCAGGAAGAAGGTGTGTCTCGCTCTTTGCCGGTTCCTGTTTGCTGTTTGCAGCCGCCATGAAAGGCGGCCCAGCCAGGCCTGCCAGCCTTGGAGCTAACTGAGTGTGGACTGAAACCTCCAAAAACTGTAAGAAATAAACCTTTTCCTTTCCCAACTTGGGCTTCAGGTATTTTGTCTCAGCAACGAGTAAAAAGTAACTAAGACAACCACCATGCCTGGCTTGGATGGGGGCTGTTAGTGGTCTTAAAAGGCAACAACAGAACATGAGCAAAGTTTTAAATGAACAAATGGAGTTCACTGTACTTGGAGAGATGTCTTCGGAAAGAGCAGAGATGAGACAGTGGGTGTGAGACACAGCAAAGGGGCCAGGGAGGAGCAGGAAGCGGCCCTGGGTGCCCTGAGCCCTGGTTGCTGTGTGTGTCACAGCCCTCAGGGTGCCTGGGGTCACCCAATCAGTGACAGAGGACAGCACTGTGGATCTGAACTGTAAAAGACACGCTCTCCCAGCCCGGCTCCCCCTGCTCATTTTACTGTTTACCCAAAATCAGGTCCTGGGAAACTGATGAAATTTCACTTTTGACAGACAAGCAACTGTCAGAAGTGCAAGATGCCGACAGGGAACAGGTGAAAGCCTTCTCTGACCTGAAGATTGTGCAGCTTCCACGCCAAGCAATCAAGGCAGCCTTAACGGACAGGCATGAACTTGGAGCCCCTCAGGGTTCGCCCTGGAGGTAACAGGCTGAGAGGTTTCCATCCAAAGTCAAACCAAGAATCCCACTCAGAGATGTGAGGTGCTATCAAAACACACCATGAGTGTTTACATTTTAAAAATCATCATTGTAAAAAGTCCTGTTAACGTAAAACCCCTGAAACACCCCTCGCTCTGAGTGCTCTCGCCCACCTCTCCGGTGCTTCTGGAAGCCATCTGGAGCCCTCCTCCCTGAGCCCCTGTGCCCTGTGTGGCTAGGTGCCGCTGCCAAGTGCCCTCCAGCAGAAAGACAGCTCCTGAACCATCAAAGTGCGCCCCACCCACCTTGTCCACTGAGTCCAGCACCCTGTTACTTCTGGCTCCTCTTAGTAAAACATTTTAAATCAAGTCAGGGCATGCAGGTAATTAAAGATACGAAGGGAAAATAAGCAGTAGTACATGATGGATTTCAAAACAGCTGGAAAGGACTTGGGCTGGCTTCACCACAAAGAAATAAAAGATGAGGAGATTGAGTGGCTGCCCTGACAGATACCCACTAGTGGGTGTGTGCACGGAAATGCCAGAGGGTCCCCAAAGTGCACAGCTTTATATAAATTTAAAAGATGGGTGTGTTCTGGAGATCAGCTCTACAAAATATGTCATTGACAGTACAACAGCACACACTTAAAAACTGTGAAGAGGATGGGTCTCAATGCTCTGCACAAACAAAGAGAAAGACAAAGAACCTTTCCTGCTGGAGGTGACACCACAGGTGTGTGCGCATATTCAAACTCACCAGACTGTGCCTTAAACAGTCTAGTATTTTCATGCATCGGTCAGTGCTCAGCGGATCTGTTAAACACAACCAAATGGCAGCATCGGAGCCGGTGACCTGACGGCTCCTCCACCAGCACTGCTGCTCCCGTCTCGTCATCCATCAGAATCATCTGAGAAACTTCAAAAATCTCTTGCTCCGAATGATGGCGTGATGGTAGTGAAGCAGCCACGGGAGAGGCTGCATCTGGTTGAGTGTGTGTGCCTGTTCATCTACCTGTGCTGTTTGGGAAAACACCGCTCCCACTCTGTTCGGCGGGACTGAACACCACCAGGGTTTAAGGAACGGCTTCTGGCCTAAGCCCAGCTCGAAGCCTGCAGACGGGCGTCTCTGCCTGCCGTCCTCCAGCTGTGCACAGGGATGCACACGTATGCTGCTAGCATGGCAATGGCTATGTTAAACCTTCCAGGCGCTTCCTGCTGACCCGCAGCTCTCCTGCATCTGGTGGCTCCTGTGCTCTCAGGTGGTGGGGAGCCCTGAGTCACCCTTGGGGATACAGTGAGGGGTCACTTTCCTGCTATCTTTCACCTTCCCCACCTGCCAAGCACAGGACCTGCTTACCGTCCAGTGGATATCGTGGAGAACTCTGGAAACTTTCCAGTGACAGTCGCCAGTGCCTTAACTCCTGCCTGCGAAGCTTGCTGGACACCCATGTCCTGTTGGTAAGGTCCATCGCCACTTTGTCTCCTGCCTGGGAACGCGAGGAGGCCTCCATGCTCTTCCCAGGGGTCATCTTTTTAAAAATTTTTAAAATTTTATTTTAAAGAGATTAAGTCAAAAGAGGAAAGAACAAAGCAGATCAGAATAGAACAATGTAAGCAACACAGCACTTCACAACAAGACAACCAGATATTCACAGTAGCTACCATAATGTCTCTTTCTTTGAAATAGTTGAGCATACCTTCATGCACAATAGTATCAAACATAACAAAATAGTATAAAATCATTCAAGAGGATGAAAGTATTACAGGGTATTCAGAACCAAATAATGGAAAACAAACAATGGCTATTATATTATCTCATTTTCCATTTGTTTATACTATCACACATATTAAAAGCCAATAAGATACAACATGATAGAATCAATGGAAACAGAAGAACAAAAGCACGGTAGGACTTCAAAGCAAGATGATATTAAATCAGTACTGGCTATTATAATGTCTTGTTTTCTTCAAAATAGCTGTTCATATCATCACACATAATAAAATCAAACAAAACAGAACAAAACCATTCCAACCAATGAAGACATTATAAGGCTTCAAAGCAGTATAATGGGGAATCATGATTAACATAAAATCTTATGTACTCTTACCATTTCTTAAACTAGGAAGACTATATGGTATTTATACATGTGACTTTGATTTATTTCGCTTATGAGTATGGTCTCAAGTTGCTTCCACTTATTTATAAATATATCAATGTGATCATTCTTTATAGATGAGTCGTACTCCATTGTATAAAAATACAACAACTTTTTTATCCATTCCTCAGTTGATGGACACTTGGGTTGTTTCCAAGATCTGGCTATTACAAATTGTGCTGCTATAAACATGGGTGCACATATGTCACAGTGGTATGATGCTTTCAGTCTTCTGGGAATATGCCTAGAAATGGAATAGCTGAAACAAATGGGACTTCCAATCCCAGCTTTTTGAGAAATCTCCGGACTGACCTCCACAATGGTTGCACCAGTCTACACTCCCACCAATAGTGCAGGAGAGTTCCTTTTCCCCAACAGCCTCTCCAGCATTTGTTGTTGCTAGTTTTCTTGATCCTGGCCATTCTTTCAGGAGTGAGATGGAGTCTCAGTGTGGTTTTAATTTGCATTTCTATGATGACTAATGTTGATGAACATTTTTTCATGTATTTATTTGCCATTTGTATTTCTTCATCTGAGAACTGTGTATTCATCTCAGATGCCCATTTTTGGATTGGGTCTTTGAATTTCGGGGGTCTGATTTTTTTTTAATTCTTTATATGTTTTAGACAGAAGTCTTTCGTCTGAGGGACAGTTCACTAAGACTCTTTTCCCAGTTTGTGGTTTTTCTTTTCACTATGCTGGAGATTTCTTTTGATATGCAGAAACTTTTTAATAAGAGGTGGTCCCAGTTATTGATTCTGGCAATATTTCCCTTGTGGTTTGATTCCTGTTCATGAATTCTCTACTTACCCCTATGTCTTCAAGATTTTTACCCAATTTGTCTTCCAACAGATTTAGTGTTTCTGTTTTAATATTGAGATCTTTGATCCATTTAGATTTGAGTTTAGTATACGCTGATAGGCATGAGTCTAGTTTTAGTTTTGGAGAGCCAGTTTTACCAACACCATTTATTAAAGAGACTGTCATTCTTCCAGTGAACATATTTGGCCCCTTTTTCAAAGATAAGGTGGTTGAGGTTGTTTGTAGTTGTGGATGTATCTTCTAATCTATTCCATTGATCTTCAGCCATTTTTATTTCAATACCATGTTGATTTTATTATAGTAGCTTTGTGTATAACTTCAAGTCAGGGATTGTGATGCCTCCTGCCTTA